AATACATCAACTTTCACCGTGGACGAAGCGGAGTCCAGCCCGGGGTCGTCACATGTGGTTGCCGCAAGTCTGCCGGCCACTCCTTTGTCGAATCCGCCAGCCGCGCCATTCTCAAGACCGCCCGCCTCCGCTCATTCAAGCCGGCCTCCGCTCACTCTAGCCAGCCGTGTGTTTCGTTGTGAAAGCGAAACTACTTTGTTTGGTCTACCAAAAGTGGACACGACTAGAAATCAGTGGTTAAGTTGTATTTACAACACTGTTCCAGAACAGTTCAACCCAAATATTAATTTGTGTGTGTGGCATTTTATGGAGGACTGTTTCCTGATCCTGGAAGAGTAGACTACAATGCCAGCTGTTCTGACTCAAAGACTGTAAGTAAGTTTTTTATATTTAAAGAATTTGCCACTGACGATTCAAACGCGAGTTTTGAGCAGTGTAGAGTAGCGCTTGTTGTTTGTAATTTCTCCGATCACAAATGCAGACATGGTTTTATATTTACGCGGCGCAATGCAATGCGTAAAAAGACAGTAGAAGTCATTATAATCCGTAATTATGTCCCCACTGGATGCAACAAATGCCTCGTCTATAATTGGTTTTAATATTTTTGTCTCATTGCTCTGGCCGGACAGGGCATCACAGTATGGTAAGGGGCGTAACATTTCCGTTACACGCTTGAGGTATTCGGCCAATCACAACGCACTGGATAGCTGGCCAATCAGAGCACACTTCGCTTTTCAGACCGATGAGCTTTGTAAAAATCGACGCATTTCAGAAAGGCGGGGCATAGAGGAGAAACAATAATGTACAGTATGTGGAAAATAATGTGTTTTTTGAACTTTAAACCACATAAACACATTTCAGTATACCAAATACACAAAATAATGTTCTTTTTAGCAACATCATATGACCCCTTTAATACAGAAACCTATACAAAACCAATACAAAATATAGAAACCTTATTTGATCAAAAAACATAATACTGTGAAATATTATTTAATTCTATACTTTTCTGTTTCCTGTTTTAAAATTATAGTTAAAATGTAATTTATTCCTGTAATGGCTTCAGTGTCACATGATCCTTCAGAAATCACTCTAATATGCTGATTTGATTCTCAAAAAACAATTCTTATTATCATTGTTGAAAACAGTTGTGCTGCTTAATATTTTTGAGGTAACCGTGAACCATTTTTTCAGGATTCGTTGATCGAAATAGCAGCATTTTTTGAAATAGAAATCTTTTGCAACAGTATACAGTAAATGTTTTTACTGTCACTTTTGATCAATTTAATGTGTCCTTGCTGAATAAAAGTATTCATTAAAAAACCCTTTTGAACGATAGTGCATGTCCTTTATTATCTAATCAAAAGACAAAATCATTATTGCTTGCTTTCAATTATAATTTCAGGTTACTTTAATGCATTTATGTCTGAAAAGGATTCATGCTGATATTGGCCATAATTCCACTTTGCGTTTTGGAGGGCAATTTACTGTATGTACAATATTCCTGGATTAAACTTTCAAAAATACTGTATGAGGAACAATACCATAGGTGTACTTTCATTTAGAGACTTTCATTAAGAGACTGGCTTATCTTATCTTTTCAACTGACCAAAATAAATAAAATATATAAAATATTTTAATTAAAATACAGTTTCATAGCCAATAAGAGATATTCAGCCACCATTGGCAGGTGTAGCAAAAAGTTAATTTTGGCCGCTGTGTGCATTTGTGCAGGTGGATTGTGTGAAAGCCTCATTTCTCAGTGGGAGGGAGGGATTGGTGCTGTGATGGGAGCAGCAGTGCAGTGTGTGTGGGTGTCTGAAAACAGCGCCCACTGCTACACCACAGTACTGTTACAAAACTCCACAGCACTCACAGGCACTGCACCACTCGCTTTCATTACAGGGTTAAAGATAAAAGCAGATAGGGATGCAGGTTATATTTGAATTGACACAACCACCAAGTCCCTTTCACGTTTATCAATGCAGTAAAAATAGTCATGTGCTAGAGCTTTAAAATGGACAGATTTTAAGCTTGTATGGGCATTGGGTGGATGGAGATCAGCAAAAGAAGGTACGTACTGCTAGAGTAGTCTGGTGGGGCGTACATGTCGTTGAGATGTACTGGTCCCGGCTTGGCCACTTTCAGATAGACCATGTCTGAAGTGTTCTTCAGGGCGGCCACAGCCTCCTCATGACGCACATCCTGAAGTATAATGTTATTCACCTGCGAAGGCAGACACACACACGCATGTTACATCGGCTGGTCTCTGAAGCGTGACTCAGAATGTTCATGACAGCACATTTGAAGTTGTGGGAAGGAAGCGACTGGAGCGGAGGCCGGATGGCCCCACACTCGGCGACGACGCTCCATTCTCCGGCTCTCAGCCGTCCGGTCACAAAAGGAAGGACGAGAGGGAGGGGAAGCTGGAAAGGCGTAGTGCTTTTTCCTTTGTAGGGGCACCTACACACTACAGAAAGCTGAGTGTTTGATGGGTAAACGTGTGTCTGATTTGTTTTGAGGATGTGGAAAGTGACAGGTCTGAATTGGACTCGCAACCAAACCCGCCTCTGTGAAACTCACATTGGAGGTCAATAGAGGAAAACAGATTGGTTGTACGACCTTTAGTTGTACGACCAGAGAAGAGTTGTATATATATATATAACTATTTATTATTAATAAAAACTATTATTATTATTAATTATATATTATATATTAACTAACAGGCATATTAACTAACATACACTGCAGGAGACAACAATAAATACATATTTAAATTCTAAAATTAAATTAAAAAAATTATATCAATAAAATAATTACTTACAAATTAATAAATAAATAGCAAAATACATAAAAGCACATAACAACATTATATTTTTAGAGAGTTATAAGGTATTCCTTATTTTAAAAATGAGTTAAATTAAATAAAAAATGGGGTATAATATTTAAGATATTAATAATCAATATTTGCACATCTAGAAATTTTAAGTATTAAAAGCATCAGCCAAAAATATTTTACTGATATATATTTAAATATTTATTTATTCTATTTAGTAAAGTAGCAAGTTAGCTTAGTGGAGAAACTTTTTTTTTTACCCTAGTTAATTTATCCAAAAGTCTTTAAAACAAAACAACATGATGCAAACTGAACATCTAAGAAGCTATTGCTAAAGTAGCTAAATTCATCGCAAATTCCAACTCATTAGTTAATAGAAGCTAGAAGCTTGCATTCTGCAAGTTTTATTGTGCCATCCCAAAGAGGCACAAAATCACTTTCACAGACTTCTAAATTAAATGTTTTAACTGTTTGGAATGACCTGCCCAACTCAGTCCGAGCAGTCATCTTAGCCATCTCCGAGTCCTTAGCCATCTTCAAGAATCGACTAAAAACACATGAGACTTGTTATAGCACTTGTATATCATTGCTCTTTTGTAGATTTTGATTGCTTCCATTGTCCTCATTTGTAAGTCGCTTTGGATAAAAGCGTCTGCTAAATGACTAAATGTAAATGTAAATGTAATAGGAAGATAATACTTAAATTTTGAATTTTGCCCAACCCTGCACATGACAGAGCATCACTTTCAGATCCTACGTTCTTGCAATGCACCATCCCCAATAAAATCAATGGATAAATAGTGTTATCTGATGCAGCATCTGTTCTAGTTTGTTGATGGACTACACAGAGACATAATTAAAATTTGACCAACTCTAGGCATTCTGTTCAGAAAATCAAAGTCCCCGACTGAATTCAAACCATAATTTCCAAGAAAAGAAAGGGAAGTAATGGCACACTTTACATGTCTGCAGTTACAGCAGCCATGATTGATGCGTAGCCTTTTAATTATGGCATTTATGACCATGTCAAAGACTGCTCGGTCCCTGGCACTTGTGTGCCATGCAAGTGTTTCTATTTATCACAGCTGTGTCCTTGTTTGAGTTTGCACTCAGCTTCACATCAATCACACTGTGGCCCATAAAGCTTCACACATGAGATATATCGTCTATAATACGGCATAGTAGCCTACAACAGTGTCTGCGTTCATTGAAGCATAAAGTAATTCACTGAAAAAAAACTCTTGCAAAGATATGCAATGTGTGGCTCTACATATAGTGAAGTACACAGATGCATGTGTGCAGGTGAAATCTTACAGCCAGTAGGCGATCGCCTGTCTGCAGACGTCCATCTTTCTGTGCCGCCCCACCTTCGATGATCTTTGTGATGTAGATACTGTTGTCGCCCGGGATGTGCTGGTTGCCTATACCGCCAGCAATACTGAAGCCGAGACCTTGAGTGAACGGAATGGAGTTAAATTTTTAACCAGGAAATCAGATCTTACGAGGTTGAAGTCAACACGAAATGGCACTCATAACCCAATTTATTTTCTTAAAGTTGCATATTTCATATGTAATATGACTACATCAATATTATGAAAAATGTGCTCAGATGCATGACGCACATTAAGAAGTAAAAGGGGTCAATTCGTAATTCAGAACTGCTTTAATAGGGATACCGCACATAATAGCATCTGTCTCAAATGTGCTGGTATACACATTTAGCTCTTCTTACCTTTAGGCCCTTTGAGTAGGTTGACCTCCAAAATGGTCTCAGGAGGAGCCTGTCTTCTGCGTACCAGCAACCTGACCACTGGGCCGGCCTCCTTCAAAGCCTCTACTGCGTTGCTGTGCACAACCTCTGACACGTCCACATCATTCACCCGCAGAACACAGTCATTTACCCTGAGACACAAGGATAAAGCAATATAATAAAGCAATGTAATGGATACATACACAAAAACCTAGTGAGCTGCCTTCCAGCTTCCTTCTACGACAGCATCCTAACTGCCAACTGTCTTTGAACCTCATAAGTGATCAATATGGATCGCTCAACATAAGTTGCAGTCACATTGGCAAAATTTTATGTCATGGTAAATTTCCCCACGCATAATAATCAGAGCTGAGTAGGCTTACAGAAAGGAGGGGTTTAGAGAGACTGAATCTTAGAACTGCTTTGAAAGAATCGTTTGAGAATCGTTGGAAAATGAGGTGATATTTTGAGAAAACCAAAATGTTTTTTGACCTTGCATGCATGTATATCTATCTAGGAGACTCCCAAAACAATATTAGGAACCTTAAATTGGCATAATAGCGGCACTTTAAAACTTCTCCAAGCAACTGTAAAATTGACAGCAACTCCATATGCAACTAATAGAGCTGGGAACTCAACTTCAATTTCAACAGTTTGGCATTAGCATGTTGTCAAGCTGACATTGTTAGTTAGCTGCTAAGCTGATACTCTAATAGGATAAAAATGGTTAGGAAAATAGTAAATTTTTAATTACAAATAACTTTTTATAGATATTTCACTATTGAGTTTTCTCTTGCCGTGTCTGCCATCATTGCCTCTGCCACCAAAGATTACATGCGATGCAGCCTTTATAATTTGGTCAAACTAGGCAGGATAATTAAGATGTCTAACTTTTGAAACAGCCATTAAGTGGGGAGACCGCCTATGATGCTTTAAAATACTGCTCAGTAGGTTTTGGAAAAAAGCTAGAGTTGCACAAAGAAATATTAGATCCTGAGAAAAGTATCACTCACCCTAGTCTCCCATCCATGGCGGCAGCACCACCTGGGATAATCTTGGTTATGAAGATTCCTGGATCATCAGGAATGTGTGGATTATCCACACCTCCAGCAATACTGAACCCGAGGCCAGAGTTGCCCTATTGACGACATACATGAGTAGATTATTATAGATGAGGAAATGCAGAGTTTTCATAAAGATCTTGGAAAAAGTTTGCATCTGCTTTTCGGAAGGCACCTGGCTCTCAATACTTTGTAAACACTTTCTAGGCATGGACAGTTTTCTGCTGCTAAATATAGGAATTTGTGGTGCACATTTCAAGAATCCAAAAATCATATCCGTTTCCGCCTATTTCCTCCCTCCGTACTTCATCACTTCTTACACTGCTGTTTACATTCCTGAGCTGAGACAGGCTGGTCTGTCTGACAGTCACATCTCAAAAGACAGGCCCTAAAGCAGACAGCTGATAAAAGACTTCACTTTATTATTTTCTATAATTAATGAGCAACGGTCACAGCAAATTAGTACAGAGTGGAGCTAAGACATCCCAGTGTGCCTTTCCTGCTCCAGAGCCACTGCGAGAGCTCCCACTAAAGAAGCGAACACACCCACGGACCTTTTAACGTGTGAGATCTTAACATAGTTTATTTAGGCTTCAGCGTGCAGAAATGGCACTTAGAGAACAGCCCTGCAATTATGCTGAAAGCTCAGAGATGCACCCAAATCCAACATCCACTGCTGTTTAATGAATGGCCTATGCAGACGGATTTAGATTCATTTGCATTGAACAAACTTCAAGTATGAATAGACCTTGCAATGTTAAAACCATGCTAGTTCATATGATAATTCTTCTTAAGAACATTTCGATAAGAACAGCACCTGTACACGATGAACTGCATGGTACAAGTATCTGGTATCTGACAAGTGGTGCATTTTCAGTAGCCTACTCTTTAGTAGTCCAAAAATATTGTCAAAATGCAGTTTTTTAAATTATTATCCTCAACTGACTTAATACAAGAAACAAAATCACAAAGTCACAAAGTAACTATGTGACACGTCTACATGTCTTTCGTTTCATTTGCATATGTTTTCATTCATTTCAATACATTTGACTATCATTTAATCCAACTATGATTTAATCATACTGATTTTAATAGTTAATCTACAAAGAATTATAATTGGTATATCTATATATTTTCATTAGGTATTATCTATTGATTTTATGTCAGTTTAGTTGTGATGAGTGATCATTACAATACTGTAACATTTTTCATTCAGCAGCACCAATCTTTAATACTAATTTAACTGATGTTTAGATTAACAATACTGAAAGATGATTTTGGAGATTAAACCAAATTATTTTTAATATCATTTCCAACCCTAATGTTTTGTGACGAGACTAGTGTTTTGAAAATTTACTAAATGACATTGCTTAAAGTTCGATTTCAGGCATTAGCTCAACATTTACTGCCATCTAGTGTTCAGGTCCCCATAGGTATCAATGTTTGGAGGAGAATATTGGCAAATTTTACAAGACCCTAAAATAGCTGAATGATATTTACCCTTTCCAAAATGATTTCTTCATATTTATACATGCCATCACTCCCATTCACCTGCAATAGACAAAAGAAAAATAACAGACTAATAAACAGTCATTAGACATGATGTAATGCCAACAAATGATACACAAGAAGGTCACATCTATAATTAATTATGTAAAAGCAGAAATGCTATAAACTCAATAAAACGCAATAAAAATGAGTGGTATGAATCACGTACAAGGCATAGGGTAGATAAACAGTCAAAGACAACTCATTATAACGGTTAAATAATAATTGCACTCGGCATTAAAGCTACAGTCCACATCTGCTGTCATTTAATCTGTGCATATTTTTATTGTTATTATCTCATGTACATTGGGAAAGGTTTGGCTGGGTTGAGGGTGATAATTCCACGTGGCAGGCAGTCAGGCAGGCAGGCGCTACTGGAGGTGCTGAGAGCATGAAGCAGATACTTACATAAGGGCCTGCATCCAGTGAGTCTGCGTTCACAATGATGGGGGGAGGGTTTGCCTGTGAGATGAAGAGATGCACATTACCTCAGTGTGTGAGGCTGGTGGCTCACACACACACACACACGCTGTCATGAGGAGACAGTAAATGCATGCCATGGGAACAGTGGGTCTCAACAGAGCATGGTACATCATCACCATGATGTGACGCTTCAGGGGGAAGAGTGAGGACAGGACTGGAGGTGTGAAGATTACAGACGGCCTGTGGTCTGCCATTGAAAGAGAACTGCAGTTGAGCCGAGGAGAGACAATATTATGTATGTTATTGCCCTCCGGCTAGTTAAATTTTTCATGTTTAAGCAATATCGCATAAATATCAGCACGGCTATGATTACACTTTTTTAAACTTTTATTAAGAAAGGATGCATTAAATTGATTGAAAGTGACAGTAAAGGCATTTATAATGTTACAAGAGATTTCTACTTCATATAAATGCTATTCTTTAGAACTTTCTATTTATTAAAGAATCCTAAAAAAAATATTACTGTTTCCACAAAATATTAAGTATTATAATTATAATATAATTATAAATATTAAAATATTAACTGGTTTCAGTATTGATTATAATAATATTTCTTGAGTACCAAATTGAAGTAAAACAGAAAAAAAGTGATCTGATTGATCTGTGGTGAGGTGATGCTGACAGGGCCGCCGGGTGACTAGTAGAGAGGAGATGGTCACTACCTCTCCACCCCCTTTAGTACTTAAGGAGTGAAGCACTAGATTATCACTCCAATTCATACTAAATCCCATAGACCCCTTGTAATCAAGCCACACACATTGTTTTCCAGTAAAAATATTTAAACATCTTTTAAATAAAATAAATTCACTCAAGAAACAAAATATTGTAAGATTAGAGAATATATCTTGAAGTAAGTTTTTTTTTTTTTACCAAATTGGCAAATAATTTTCTTGCTTGGTTCAATCATAAATAAGCTTATGCATTTATATGATCAAAAATACAGTAAAAACAGTAATAAAACATGTTATATGATATTATTACAATTTAAAAACATATTTTTAATACAATTATAAAATTCCTATGAAGTCAAAGCTGAATTTTTAGCATGATTACTCCATTCTTCAGTCTCACATGATTCTTCAGAAATCATTCTAATATGATAATTTGATGCTCAATAAACACTTATTATTATTATCAATGTTGAAAACAGCTGCGCTGCTAAATATTTTTATGGAAATTGTCATACATTTTATTTCAGTATTCTCTGACCAACAGAAAATTCAAAAACAACATGATAAACATTATAAATCTTTGCTGTCATCTTCCATCAGTTTTATTCCAAAAAAAAAAAACAGACCCAAAATTTTCAACGGAACTGTACACTGTGATCAGACAGCTAAATATTAGAGTGGTGTTAGTAGTTGTCCATTCTTAAAATCTCAGATGAAGGTATGTGGGCTAATAAAACAGCAAGTTCACACTATAAACATCTTTCCTATCATCATCAACTCACTTAAAGTCTGCCTCACACTACACCGTATATAAGTCCAGGTTTCTCACTATTTGCTATTGCTAATTGGCTCAACAGTTTCAAAAACAGACATGAGAACCCTTTGACAAAAATAGACACAACTGTGAAAAACAGTGCACTAACACCTGAGTGCATCAGCCTAGGTGCAAATCGTAATCGTAAGCATAAACTGGGAGCAAAATGACAATAATAAAAGCAACTAACTTTATCTTCAGCACTGCGTTTTCAGTCATTTTGATATGTTTGTGAATAGGCCTCTGTGACAAGTGAATTGTATACGCCCCCTTGTATAGATGCAAAAGAGCAAAGCATAAGTGCAAAATGTCTGCACAATGCTCTGTACACCACGTAAGAACATCTTGGACAATAAATTATACTTATATGCCGCCGCAAATTGGCACGTTTGAGCACAGAGGCTCCACAGACAAGGCCGAACCGTTTTAAAATCAGTGCCCTCCTCTTCTCTCATCCATGGAGATATTCCAGCACAGAGAAAGCGATGCAAGGAAACAGGTGAATATACAGCCTGCCATTCAGTACCATTAACTCTCCAGATACTAATTAAGCATGAAATGTGTTGCGGTATTAACAACACAACAGACCTCCTACGCTATCGGCCCCTTAAACCCATCAGAAAAAAAGCCATTGTCATGGTCTAGGGGATATGGGCAGTAATCTCTATGTTTCTATCCTACAACACAAGCAAACGAGATAAAGGAGGATGATAATCTCAGACGCAGTAATCCGGGATGCTGCTGCTGTCTTTGGAGGAGCCGGTGGATGAATGTGCAGCGGTATCACTGAGCTATGTGACAGCGATACGTGACCTGAAGTGTCCATGTCCTGAAGAGAGGCGTATACCATCACTGCTCATAACTCTCTATCCCAGATTAAAAAGCAAAGGGATGACGGAGAGGTGAGGTGGTGGAGTCACACAGGGGCGTCACCAGCCCTGGGCTTTCTGGGGTAAAGTCATACAGATTTTTTTTTTTTTCGAGCCTCTAAACTTTTTTTCACCCTACACAACTGCTGCTGTCCATTGTTATGCAGTGCGATGTTCAAAAGCAACATGCAGCCCGGTGCTGTGTACATACAAGGGTTATTCTGTTTTTAAAAAAGCACATCTATGAGAAGCATGATGGAGCAGCGGTAGTGACAGTCTCTTTATGCTCTGTGCAGACCGGGTCTGAAGGCTCAGCTGAGCCAGCCAAATCGCTGTGACAGGGGCAGGTGAGCAAGTGGTGCCACAGCTGGCTGAGACTAGCCACAGCTAATCATACAGCTAACATTCACCTCAAAGTTCAAAAAGAAAGTTCTGTCATCATTTACTCACCCTCATGTTGTTCCTAACCTATATGGTGTTCAGGACACATTTTGATAAATGTTTCAATTATTTTGTGCATTCAATTAATGTTCAAAACATAAAAATCACTGAAACATTTTTCAAAATATCTTCTTTTATGTCCACAGCAGAAAAAAAACTCATACAGGTTTGGGATGACTTGAGGGAGAGTAAATGATTTTCATTTCATGAACTATCCCTTTAAGAATACAAGAATTACAAACATTAAACATGGATAGCTTACTTATTGCTTCTTTCTGTCAAATTATGGCTAAAGTTGACATGGAATCAGATGTTTTCTTTGCTAATGCACATTTTGTGCATAATTCATCAGTGCATGTTATTCCACATGTAAAAATTGATCTTCATTATTATTTTTTTTATATAAATGTACTTTTTAAACCCCACCCCCCAACATCTGGCTCCCTTCCAGTATAAAACACAAATTACAGGTGGTTAAAATCCTGTCCTGTCCTAAATTTCTCTCATTAATATCTTGTTTCACTCTGAAATATGTCCAATTACAGAAATAAAATGGGTTGCAAACCTCATTAGATGTATGAATAAATATTTCATATTTAGCCAAAACGTTCCACTTAAAAGGTCCCCTTTACATATTAAAGGGGCAGGTTCATCCTAAAAAGAAAAATCAATACTCAATCACTCAAAAATCACTCAATACTCTTCACCCTCATATGGTTTCAAAACTGTATGAATTTCTTTCTTCTGAAGAAGATATTTTTTAAAATATAGAAGATATTTTGAATATATACAGTGGGTACGGAAAGTATTCAGACCCCCTTAAATTTTTCACTCTTTGTTATATTGCAGCCATATACACACACACACACTATATACATATATATATACAGTATATACTGATTCAATATATGTCCATACAATGCAAGTCAGTGTGGTAACCAAAACATCTTACTTCCAAATATCTATTTTTTTTTTTGTGTTCCACAGAAGAAAGGAACTCATACAGGTTTGGAACAACATGAGAGTTAGTAAATGATGACAGAATTATCATTTACTAACAAGGCTGGAGGGTGTCCAGATGTGGCAGAAGGGAAAAACTAAAGGGTACGAGAGGGATTAGACAAATCTGGATTAGATTACAATAAATCCCTTAATTTCCTTTTAATTCAAAGTCTAATCATTAAAGGCTGTTTTTTAACAGCCAGCTGTCACTGCACCGTTATCTCCAGCTGCAACACACACACACAAACTTACACACTAAGTTTCTGAACATCCAATACTGTAAACTCAATTTGACTTTCATCATCTACTTATACAAACTCTGTCCTTGGTTTTCTCACACTGGTTTCTTGTCTTTCTCTTAACAAACCTCTGTAACATCTACAGAACTGCTGTCAAATTGTAATATCTCCATGTGTGTCCACTGATGGCTCAACTGCCAGATCTGTCTCCATCTGTTGCAACCTAGGAAAATCAATGAATAAACATGTCTCTGTATCTCGAGTCAATACTCTGGATAGGCAGCTCATTTATTGTAACTGTTGCTGTAGCTTCAGTTTGCTCATTAGAGGAGTGAATTTGCATTAGCTCCCTGCGCAATTGCCCCTGTCAGGCTTTCCTAATTGGACTTGGCCAGAGACCCTTGGGGCCACAATCCAACAAAGGCTCGCACTGAATCAAGGCAAGCACCGGGGCAAGCGCTTCATCCAAATTGTTAAATAATCAATGTGTTCCTATGGCAACGACTACTCTGGCCTCTGCATTGACTAGAAGGTGCGGGCAGAGTCTGCCCTCCCTCGTTCATCTCTCTCAGGACGTACGCTGGTGATGACGCCACGACAGTGGTCCATTCTAGCCACAAACTAGAGTGGGATTAACATGCCCACCCAGTCAGTCCCATTCGGTTCTGTTCGAATCGCACGGCGTAGGTACCGGCTATCAATCACACCATTTCTCAAGCCTCAACAATTGCAGCATTCAGTGCCAGACAGTTTTTGGGTGTGACTGTGCTCCATATCAGCACATGCTTGACATTTTGAACCATATCAATTTCCTTTCTAAACATAACCCTTTACATAAAGGAGAGCTCTTGTTTCATAAAGAGCACACGGCACAGGATAATTCTAGAAAAAACATGTTTTTTTCAGTACTTCATTGGTTTATTTTGAAAATTGTCTGACCTCA